GAAGGAGAGGGGTAAGAAACAGTGTTGCCTCATATCACAACCACACAAACTGGCATTCTTGCCCTCAATTAGGGAAATAAAGGTGAGGTAAAAGCAATACAAGTCACAGACTGAGGACAGCAAACACTAATGCTGTGTCAGAGATCTGAAGGAATTAAGACCACAAGTGTTCTGCAACCATTGACTGGAGCTCTTGAGAACTGTACCCTCCAGATACTGATGAAGCGCTGAGCTCGTTGAAGCCAGTTCCTAGCAGAAAATCACGCTGTGGAGGCTTCTCTCAAGAACGAAGGAAGAAATAAAGTGTCAGATGTCTTAGGAGTCTTGGTAAAGAAGCCTAGATCTTCAGTACTGCAAAAACTTATCAGTGAGTTTCTGACAAGTAAGGAGTCATCTCTCTATTTGCATCTCTCTATTGCTGGGGCACATGAGAACTGCGTGGAGAAAGGTAGATGTCACTTAAATGAATTGAAAAGATGCTTTGGAAACCTCTTCAGCCTTAAAAACCATTGGGAAATCCTCTTTACTCTTAATAGAGTGACAACCCCTCATGTAAGAGCTCAGACTTAAAGAAGGGTGGACTTTGAGTCACGGTGGGGAAGACGCCCTAAAAGAGAAGAGCTAAAAATACCACCTGTGATTCCCTACCCATGGTCAGTCAGCCCAATGTCCTCTGATAGTACATTCAGTCCTTCTAGGAAATGCATCATCAGGCGGATTTGGTAGTGAATTCAGCTACTGAAGAGATCTTTGGCCAATGCTGCTTTGCAAACTTAATCCTATCCTAGCATTTTGCATGCTGAAATCCTTCTGCATGCATATGATATCTCAGAGTGAAGCATTGCTAGCATGCATTCCTAATATACAGCCTTGACACATTACTACGTAGATGAGTTTCCTGTGACCTTAAGCATACTCCCCACTTAAGATAGGGATATAGAGAGACACCTGCTTGTCTAGATAGAGGCTGAACATGAAAGAGCATTGCTACTATCTGGGAGAGTTTAAAACCTGCCCGTGTGACTCTAACCTACTTACAGATTTACATACTTATAGTAGAAGTTGAACATGTTTGTGATGCATTCAGAGTCCGTCATAAGAAGTAATGTAAGTAGATACAACTGTGGATAATCCAGATCTCACAGCTGTAGCTGGACAAACCCATGTGAGACTTCTCATTAACTCCTGTTTTTAGCAACTGGCTGCTCAGGACACAGTTGACTTGGCCTCTGGGAACTTGGATATTGGACATGGAGCAGGGAAGACTTGAACACCTTCATGATGAAACCCTGACAATCAAAATGATGAAGAAAAATTGATACCTATTATGGGGTACTCACTTCCTCTATGGAAAAGAGAAAATATTCACTTTAAAGTGGAGCAACTTTGACCTTCATTCAGTTGGTGACAATTCTGAATTTGTTATTGCTAGTAAAAGTGTTTTAAACCCAGTTTCTTTCTTGAGGAAACACTTGCAACAAAAACCTCTTCCATTTTTTGTCATCCAGTTTTCCTAAACTGGGAAGATGATGGGGCAAGGTATGTCAGAACAGAACTGAAAGCTGTAATTGTCAAAAATTCTGTCCAGTACCCAGGGTCCTGCATGTTGTTTCAGGCTACGGTTGAGCCTATCTTTAAAGAGCCTATTTCCAAAAAGGCAGATGTAAACTTATTGAGACAGATTGTCTTACAGTTCCTTGCACACCCTCCAACAGGTTGTTCAAAGGCTTGAATGCACAGCAAAATGATGAATATAAGTGCCTACCTCAGGAGTCTCTGCTTTTTTGTGACAATACTAATACTCATACTAGATTAGGTACTAATCTGAAAAGCTGGAAGCAAAATTGTGTCTTGTTATGTATTTTCTATGAAGTAGGAACCAGCCCTGAAGTCTAGTCCTGGAAAAACCAGGGATCTCTTCACCTTTCCACTTAACAAAAGCAAGCTTCCTCAGGACTTTGGCCCCAGCTAGTGTTTTATGGGATGGATTGGAATAATGCTTAACCTAAAACAGTCGCAACTGCTTTGCTTCATGTTGTTCCATACTAAGACTGCTGAGAGGGGAAATTCAGTGGTCAGGATGCTTTCTGTTCATTTTAAATAGTGATGCAATCCTTAAAATGGCATAAGCCCACACAGACGTCAGCTGTGCAACTCATCCCTCAGAGATAGGGCAGATCAACAGTTCCCTTGTTGAAAATGTCAAATGTCAAAGTGAAAAGTAAGAAAGACACACCCATAGTTTACCTCCAGGAAAACCTTATATTCCAGCCCTAAAATATTTTTAGCCATTTGTCCCTGAGCAGTACCTGAACTTCATGGAGAAATACTGAGCTGAACTCCGGGATCAGCATGCACATCATAGTTTGCACTAAAAGTGCTGTTCTCTAAAGGCTAAGATGACAAATCATCATCTGAAAAGGACAGAACACAACCTGAGGAGTAGCAAAGTGCCCTGAGAACCTCAGAGAGAGATGGAGGTAGAAAGTTTTGGTTGTTTTTTTTCTGTTCTCAAGTAGCATGAGAGTGAGTTACTTGTATCTAAACAGAGGTCTCAAACCTGTGTTAAACAATCCAGAATGCTCAGCCATAAGCTCCCCTTACTCTAAAAGCAGATGCAGTAACACAGATCTGCTTCAGCAGTAATACAGAGCTCCAAAGTTAAGTGCAGCAGATTGGCAATAGGCAGCATTAACTTTTCATCAGTTACTGCGGTTAACGCAGGTGGTTAATGTGTGCATGTTTATAACATGCTGAAACTGTGTAAACCACTTTCCTCTAATGTCATCTCAGACAGACACTATCATGGTACATAGCTATCAAAAACTTCCTTGTAGGCCGGGAGGTCTTGGAGAAGTTCCAACTTCTCCAGCTCTTGATTACAAGACGGGTGAGCAATCAGCAACAAAAGCATTTCTTCATTAATTTTACAAACAGGTCCTGCCCTTAAGAATGTTGAATCTTTAAGGAAATTATACTTTCCAAATCTAAAAAAGCATTTCTTCATTGGGAAACGTTACATAAAAATCTAACTTTTACTGATAACTACAAGGGGGGAAAGTAGATGCAAATTTAATAAGCTTATTTATCAATTTAGTCAGTTATCAATTTAGTTAGCTTACCTTAAAAAAACAAAAAAAAACCAAATTTCCGAGGGCAAACATTTACAAGTTAGAAAATGCAACTCTCTTTCACACCCTGCTGCTCGCCTCTTCTGCCTCTCTGTTGTCTGTCCCTGTTGGAGTCTATCTGTGCCCTTCATACCTTCCTTTCATCTCCTGCTTCCTAACATTCCCAGGTATTCTCCTTCATTCTTGTAATAGTTCAAAGCCTTTTATATTGCCTGTAAGGCCAAAAACAGCAGTAGTACATGAAAAGACACTTCAGCCTAACATTTCCTTCTATGGAGGCCTCCAGAAGAATGATGCTACAGAGCTACTAGAAATAAATTATGGAATTGAGAAATACAGGCATGAAAGCATCAGGATTATTGTTCAGCATACTGCCTCTAAAAGTAAATTTATTTCATACTTTTTTCTACAGGTGACTTTCTATGTATATCATTAGTAAATGGATTTATACAGCTACGCTACAATCTTGGAGACAAAACAATTGTCCTACAGGCTATTCAGAAGGTCCGTGCTGATGGGCAGACCTGGTATGTACTCAGAGCAGGAAGAGTTGGTAATGAAGGCTACCTGGATCTGGATGGCATCAATGTTACCCATACAGCCAGTGCTGGGATGAATGTGCTGGACACGCACACAGATTTTTATGTTGGAGGGGTATCCTCTCTAAATCTTGTGAATTCAATGGCAACAGAAAATGAACCCACAGGTTTCAGTGGCTGCATACGAGAGATTGTTATAAATGACAAAGAACTGCAGCTGACTGTGACAGATCCCAAAGGTGGAGCCAATATTGGTGACTGTGACGGAACAGCCTGTGGATATTCAGTGTGCAAAAATAATGGAACTTGTCAAGTTGAAAGCTCAGGCTTTTCTTGTTCCTGCCCACAAGGGTGGACAGGGAACACATGTGAAGAGTCTGTTCACTGCTTGCAGAACAGATGTAGGTCCCAAGCTCTCTGTATTCCCCAGCCCACTTTGCTTTCATACACCTGTGTATGTGCACTAGGCTGGTCAGGTAAGCACTGTGACAGCAAAATCAGCTTTTTCACGGCAAAGTTTGTTGGTAATTCCTACATCAAATACATAGATCCCCTTTATGGAAAAAGAGACCTCCAGTACAGTCGCATTTCTTTAAACTTTACTACTAATCAAATTGAGGGCTTAATGGTGTGGCTGGGAAAAGCTGAAGATGAAGACAATGATTTCCTTGCCATTGGCCTTGCCAACGGAACATTAAAGGTTGTGATTAATCTTGGAGAAAGAATCTCTGTTCCAATGATTCATAGCAAAGATTCCACCTGTTCTGATGAAAATTGGCATTTTGTTACCGTAATTCAAAATCAAACGTGTGTGAAGGTATATCTTGATGAGGAGCTAATTATTTTTGAAGATATTGATCCACACAGAAAATACACTGCTTTAAACTATGGTGGAATTTGTTATTTTGGTGGATTTGAAATTGGCAGAAAAGTCCATACAGTAACTGTAGGGCTCTTCCAGAAGGAATTCATTGGTAAAATGAAAGATATTGCACTATTCCAAGATTCTAAAAAGATTCAGCTCATGAAAGGAGAAGGTTATAATGTTCATAATGGAGATCATAGAAATTAATTGAAGAACTAATTAAGATTCCTTAGAAGTGATGCATTTCATTTTTGTACAACTGACAATCTAGAAATCTAGAATTTGTGAACCAAAATGAAATTGTTCCTAATCCTTTTTCTGTTTTAATGATAGGTATTAATAACATACATAAAATGTGGCTAGAATTTTTAATTTACTCCTGCTTATATATACTTTTAGTATTTGTTTTAAAATAATGAGGTTAATGAGGTCTGATTTTTTTTAAAAAAATTTTTTAGTAAACTGGAGATCATTTTGTAGATGGATGATGGTGGTTGTCAATCTAGTACTGTTTGTAGGCAAGGACAACTTAGTTTTGGAGAAAAAGCTACATTTTATTAGTATGCACAGCCTCTCTTTTCAAATGTTGCAGTTTTATGATTAACATCTACCATTTGTAGGTGGAAAAAACGTATACCTGGGGTTAAACTGCATTTTATAAAAATAACATTTGTATTTACTTAGTAAGTCCACAAAGACTCTATTCCAGGTAATGAAGTTGCTCTTCCTACCTTCTGAGTTGCTATCCATTGCATAAACATTTATGTAAAAAAGCAAAACTTGATACTGTTTTCAGGCTAAAATATTATGTTTAAAACCATTCTCTTTTAGAGGCAAAAAAAAGGTATTTTAATTACTGAGCACAAGAACAAGCTCATGTACACTGAGGCATAAAAATAGTCTACTGTTTCTCTCCGCCAGGGGTCTCCCACGTTTGACCACAGAATAATGTCTCAGCTGGAATGTGGGACAGTTGGCAGTCTGCCTACAAGTAACTTCTCTTACTAACAGCTTTTTTGTCAAGCAACTGCTCTGCTTTAGCTATACACTTCTGGCTTTTATCCCTCTAAATGAGATTTTAAAATTTTACTAGACAAATTCTTAACCACTGTAAATTGAATTTCCGTGACTACATTTTTCATGAATTTTTAATCTCAAAAGTAAATAGAGTTCTTCAATAAATAAAATGCAAAAGCTTTATTCCTTCTGAAAAAGCTGTTATATTCTGCACTTCAGTCACCAATAAAAACAAATAAAGTTATATCTTAATCTGCTTAAACATAAAATTTGTGATGACATTTATATTTCTCATTTGACTGCTGAATTGCTGTATAAATAAAATATATAGAAATAATAGTACTGGATTGCTATTTTTTTTTTTTTAACTTTACTATTGCTCAAAAGCACATGATCAACCATCACTTTCTTACACGGAAGTGAAGTCCACAGTGGGTACTGATCAGGAACAAGCAACTATTTCTGATTTGTTTTCTCCCTCCTGTGAAGCAGGTTAGGAACAGAGACAACAAGCACAGCAAACCAGGTGACACACATCACTTTCTACATAACCAGATGGCAAGGAACTTGTTGCCAACAGTCAAGGATGACTCAGAGATGAGCTGAGGGGCAAGGCAATGGAGCTGCCACAAGATGTTTTAATAGGAATTTGCAAACATCTCAGTTGAGGTTCTTCCTATCCTTTTACGCTGCTCTGAACCTTTGAGCAATCAGCCTGATATAGCAGTGCTTTCTCCCCTCTATCCAACAAGTTAACAACAGCTCTCAAAGCCTGCTTGGCATTAGAGCTGGCTCCAGATTCGTGTCTTCATTTCTCTTAGAAGGACCTTTTATGGCCATGTGATGCTGGGGAAGGGAGCGTCTTCAGATTTATTCCATTCACTCTGGGGTTCCTGGTGTACTGCCAGTTCCCCATCAACACACACTGCTGTCTGTGGTCCGAGCAGCAATTCAGCATGCAGCAAGCAACAACTAGAGCACTCCTGACAAATACCAACATTAGAAGAGAGTGACTGAAGATGTGGGGAAGGCAGCAACCCCTTACTCCTGCAGCAGTGGGATTTATTCCCATTACATAGCTCAGATTCTAGGACCAAATTCTGTCAGATGTTTCTGTCTGTTAATTTAAAATCTTAATAAAACTCTCCCAGTAGAGATGTTCTTCTTTGGCTCTCCAAGAGGCAGATAGTAAAGCACTAGCTAAATCTGGAAAACGTTTATGTATTCTTTCCAAACAAAATGTTTCTGGTAACTGTGACAGAAAACATTCCCATCTCAGCTAATAGGGGCAATTTTCAGTGATAACAGTTTATTTTCAGAGCTCTTTTGGGCAGGTCAGAAGGAAATCTTGACAAACAGAGCTAGTGATTTAAAACTGATTCCAAAACCAAACAAGGGTTTCAGTACTTTTTTATATATTAAAAACCCTGGTGTAAATATTTACACAACCCACGCACATTAATATGCCTAACTACTATATAAATCATGGAATTAATTGATTTGGAAAAACTAGTATCATTTTATCACAATACAAAACTTGACAGGTTAACTACTGCTTAGTTCACAAGAGGATTTCTTGTTTAAGAATCTCAACTATGAGGCTGAAAAACATTACTGAATAAAAGTCTGCCACCTCTTCATTTGGTGCAAGGTTTTTATTTTAGTCAATTTGACTGTGAAGCTACTTACTTGTAGGATATTGAAAGGAAATTTTACCTTAAAATACATTAAAATTAGCAAATATTATTAGTGTGTTGTTAAACTTTAAAGATCTTCTCAGAAAGAAGAGGCTTTTCTACAGCAAAGTGCAAAATGCTATGTCCATACAGAAGGTAATGTACTCAAAGTAAAAAAAAAACAGAATACTGAAAAATAGAACAATAAACCTCATTTTTGGTTTACATAGTGGAATGTTTGTTTCTAACAGACTCAGCAAAATGTCAGGTGTATTCTGAGAAAGGTAAGGGCAGGAGATTTCAGCTTGTCTTCAGGTTTTCTTTTTTGGCTTTCTGTTTTGCTGTGGATGGCTGTCATTATTAGGAATCAATTTACTGCAAGTCCCAGTGGGACAAACATTCCTCTACTTTCTTCCCCTCTCTTTGCTCCCCCAGAACTCAGAACAGCGTAGCCATGAAATGTGAAATACATCTCTACATTTCTGCATTCTGCAACTTAGCCTGCTAGATTCTTTCAACCTACAGTTTCACACCTATGAAATCAAACACACACAGTATGTGAGAAAGTTTTATCATTTTAGAATCAAAATATCCCTTAAAATATTTACATTTTACAGTAAAAAGGATAGCAAAACACAAAGTAATGTACAAGCTCAGGTATTCAAGTTTTTTGAAGCATGGAAAATGGTCGGAAAAATGAATCAACTACTACAAAACATATTTTCAAGAACTTAGGTTAAAAATGCTTTCTTATTTAAACAAGTGCAGTTTAAAGCAATAACATTCGAGCAGCTCAGCCTTCCAATTTCTGGTCACAGACTGCTTTAGATGCTTAGGAAATACTTGAAAAACCAATGAAATACACTTGAATTACTTTATTGTACTACTGAATAATTTAAAAAACTCTTCACACCATCAAGCATGTTATGTTTTGTTGTAGCATGTATGGATTCTGAGGTTTTGCTGGAGTCCTTAAAAACAGTGCAATTTACAAAGAAGGTTATTGTATTAAAGTAATCTTTAAAATTATCCAAGCATCTTAAAACAGGAGAGAGCACAAATTACCAAAGGCAGCAACTATATTGCAGACATGACTAAAGCCAGCTTTATCAGCTAAGAAAATTTCTAAGCCTTTATTGCATATTAATAAAAGAAATCTTTAAAATTTTGAATATACAGCAATGTAAAATTTTTAAAAATATTAAATCCTACTTCTAGCGACAGTTGGTATAATGAAAAAAAGGATGAGTATTGGTACATCGAGTAGTACCAAAACACAGACTTGTTTCTGCAAAACACCAAGACTGAATAAAAAAGATGGCACAATCCTAGCAGGCTGTTGGTTTGTTTTTTTTTTTAATAGAAAGTTTTACGATGTAACTCTAATAGTTTACTTAAATAGGACTTTAAAAAGACTGCCTGCATCTTTTTACCTTTTGCTTTTAGATCTGTCACTGTGGTCCCTGTGTCTGTCTCTGCTCTTTTCACTTTCTCGCTCTCTATGTTTCTCTTTACTTTTGTCCCTCTCCTTATCTTTTTCTTGAGCCTGCTCTTCAGGTTTGGGCTTCTCTGTCTTTTTTTCTGGGTTTCTAGTCTCTCTGGGGCTTTTTCCATCAGCACCCCTATCACTGTGAGGAAGTCGCAATCTTTCTTTGTCTCTATGTCCTTCCTCTCTACTCTTCCTCTCTCTCTCCTTTTCCTGGTTTCTGTCTCTGCGTCTATTTCTTTCAGAATCTTGTTCCCAGTATTTTTCATTGTTCCACTCTTTTTCATGTCTTTCTTTCTTTTGGTGGTGAGAGTCACTATAAAATCTTTGTCTTTGTTGGTCGTTTTTTCCTCTACTGAACCCTCTCTCCAAATGCTGCTCCTGTCTGCCCCAAGGATCACTATGACGCCTTTCTGGTCTCCTACTGTCTTTACTCTGAAAAAAATTTTCTGGCCCCCCAAATCTTGACTGTTTGTGAGCCACTGGTAGCCCTTGTGCAATGGGTCCAGCATAGGGTGGTGGCTGACCAGATAAATGACCTACAGGTGGCCACGGCATCACTGGATTCTGAGGAAAGCCAAAGCCTGGAGGAGGAAGAAGTTGAGGTGGCAAATGAGGAGGGAATCCAAACATAGGGCTGTTTTGTGGAGGGAAGTTAGGAGGTGCAGGAGCTTGAAACTGAAATCCAGGTGGATTAGATTTAGGATGCTGGAAATTCTGTTGTGGAGGTCTAACAGATGTGAAGCTGCCACTTGTTACAGGGCTTGGAACTTTGGACATAAATTCAGAACAAGAAGAATTTTCTGTTTCAAAATGAGATGAAGTTGCTGCTGGTCCTATTCTAAACGAGTTCAGAGCCTCAATGTTTTGCATTGCATCTTCTTGTGACTGTTTGGTATCTTCTGCTTGCGATGCACATGCATTATCTGCTTTTGTTGTGGTTGAATTATACTGCATCTCATTTGTTTGTGCATCACTTGGATACAGGTTTAAGCCTGTATCAGCAGAAGACTGTTTATTCTCTGGTTCCATTTGATCATTTCCTGAAGCAACCTGTTGGTCTTCATTTTTACTAACATCCCCCTCCTTGTTTTCTGAAGCATTAGTCTGCTGATTTCGCCCAGCTGCCTGTCGAGGGTCTCTTTTAAGATTAATAAATGGTGGTGATTTAGAGGTATTAGCAGTAGTACCTTCAGCAGAACTTACATTAGTGTTGTTCTCAGTGTTTTTCCCTGCATTTGATGAAGAAGAAAAGCTGGAATTTGTGGTCCTTCTAACTTCCTGTGTGACATTATCCTTGTCAGGTGTCTGCCGCTTTGAATCATCTTCTTTACTTTCTTCAGTTTCTTTATTCTGTGACTGAGCAGATAAATTTGCTAGAAATGCTTCGGTGGAGACATCAGGGGGTTTTCCCTTAAGATCAAGTCCTGTCGAAGTTCCAGTATTTCTTGTAGAACTCGAGGACCCTGTAACTGCTGCATCCGCAGGTCCAACAGTAGCATTAGCAGACTCTTGTGTATCATCTGAACTAGCCTTTGTTTCACTAACTTCAGCAGTTACTTCATCAACATCCATCTTTTCTTCTTTTAAGGTTGCTTGTTCATTTAATAAAGGTATATCTTCACCAGGACTTGCTTCTGGCTTACTTTGTTCACATACCTGCCCTGTCGTACCCAAAAGGCTTTGAAGAATATCATCCACTGGCAGTGGTTTATTTGCTAGCTCTAAAGTAGAAGGCTGATTCTCCCACCCAACTAGAACACCAGGAAGAAATCTGAGAGGCTTTGGTGGTTCATGTTTGTTACTTTCCACCAACGGTTCAATAACTGCTGGAACATCTTCTATATTAGACGGCTGAGGTTTATTTCTCTGCTTGTGCAGCACAGTTGTGAAAGAATTAAAAAAATCATTTTCCTCTTCTTCTTCTAGTGCCAATTCATTATGAGAGACTTCAGGTTTGCTTGGCTTGCTTTTCTTTTCTGGTGGCATACTACTCAAGGTACTTTCAGAAACTTCATCCGCAAAACTACTAGTAACACTTGTAACAGCAGAAATCTGTCTCTTCATTTTCTGGCGAATTATCAATCCCAGTAATAAATTTGGTCGATGAATTTCAATCCCTGCACAAAATTGTAACAGCAATGTATTAACTACTTGTGCTTTGGTTACAGTAATCAGTTTTAACAAAAATAAATCATGTGCTCTTATAATGTATTACAGAAATTCTTCATTTAAGACATTTGAGATTTCCATCATCACCCCTTATAAATTCCAAATACAGAATACAGGACTTATATAGGATATCTAGTTTTAAAAGGAAAAAAAAGTTAAATAACTTGTTAGTGTTGGTCTAAGAGAGTTACTCTCTAATAACAGTGATAGAGAAGCACAAGAGGAAAAACAATGTTAATAAAACACTAACACCTACAAGTCCCATAATCAATCTGTGTTAGACAGATTTCTTCACAGGTTTACCCATGAGTGACTTTCCAAAATGCTTTCCTCATTCCAGAAAGTTATTGTGTTTCAAGATACACTACTATCTCTCTCTTCACTATGCATTTTGTTCTGTCTAAACTAGGTTCTCACGAAGAGAATTAGGATTTGTGGCTAATCCTGTATTAGTTTCATCCTATGTAAAATGAAATCATCCATAATTTTTTTTTTATATAACCAAAATAAATTGGCACAAAAAATCAGGCTTAAGCAGCAGCTCCAGTCATTTCTGGAGCTTTTTATTTCTTACTCATTTGTTTTCAGAACCTCCAATGTCCATCCTTCTTGCTTTTCTTCCTTCTTTAAAAAGTTTGGAATGCTCAAGTTTAAAAAAATGTTAATAGATCTCAAATAATGAAAAATACTGTTTTTAAGTTACAGTATCAATTTGGAACTCAGTAGGATACAGGTGACTTGCACCAGTGAATTTTCTGAGATTGTAAACACAAAGAAACCTAGGTTAGAGAAATTGCATAGTAAAACATGAAATAAAGTTACTCAAAGTAATATTTTCAATGATATTTAAAAAAATCAGAATAATCTTACAATTGAAAATTAATGTCTTCTCAAGGAAGTTAATAAAACACTATGGAAAAATCATGACTTGTTTGAACAGAATGACTTATTTTCTATATCATCATTAATTACCTTTTAAAATTTAATTCCCTCTAGTGTTATAAGCTTCTATATGAAGTGCTATGATAATAAAAGTTCCATGCTGTACTTACCAGGCCCATCAAAAGGCACAAGATGATGTGGGACTTTATCTGAGGAACCTAATGGGATGAGATACAAATCTTTGACTTGCTTCATGTTATTGGCAGCTACACCATAACGTTTTCTACTGCTGAAATAGGCAAATAACAAAGCATAGGATATCTGATCCTCTTCGGTTACAGGTGTAAAGCGAACTACGCAGATTTCCTGTTAACAAAAAGAGAAATAAAAGATCATACATATATTTCTCATGAAATTTCAACTGTTTTAGTTACTGTTCTTTACTTAAAAGCATAGTTCAAAGACGAGAAAGTGCCTCCCCGCAAATGCAGAGAAGAGAAAACAGAAGGAGCAGAAACAGTGTCAAAAGTAATTAAGGAAAATGGAAAAGATAAATAAAAAATATTCAGTAGTTTAAAAAAAGGTGCTTTACAACTCATGACAAAAAGTCATCCTTTTATCAGCCTACTAAATAAGAAGTTTACTTGGAAGCTGGTATGCTTCCGTAGATTATTCCCCTCCCTACCCATAACATTACTAGGAAGATTTACCTTGTACAGTCTATTGTGTCTGAGATAATATCTAATACTAAAGGAAAATGAGTATCCAAATCCCAGAATAACACCCAAAGCCCAGTTCAGCAGTTGATGCTGGGCCTGATCCTGTTAAATGGTTTGATCAATTTATGAGCTGGAACACAGAACAGGAGACTCTGCAAAACTGAGATGACACCAGTTAGTACATGGGTTGATATGCTGAAGAGCAAGTTGCTATTCCAAGGGGCTGACCAGAACCTCATGAAGGTGAGCCGAAGTAAATGAAGAAATCCTGCACTCTATATGAAATATCTCCAGTAACCAGGACAGTCTACAAGGCTAACTGGCTAGAAAGCCAGTTGGCATAAAAGGATGTGCAGGTCCTGGTGGGCTCATTGAATATAAGTATCACAATAATGCAACTGGGCTTTAAATAAGACCAACTGCATCCCTGGTGTCAGAACCACAGCAAATCAATGGAAACAATCACCCCCTTCTATTCAGTACTTGTAGGAAAGTAGTGTCTAGTTTGGGGCTCCTCAACACAACAATAATTTGCACACTGCAGTACAAGTCCACCTTGGGCCACCAAGATGGATTTACATACTCTAACAATACAGAAACTAGAAAGTAGTACTTGTGACCTGTCAAGCTGCCTTCAAATATGCATTTCTCTCCAACAAATACACATGCTCTCAAACAGTAAATGAGAGATTAAGATTAGATAAAAAATAAATTCCACAAGCTGTCAGCCATCCCATTTAATGTAAGTATCAGTTTTATCCTTGAATTGCGACATATCTTGCAAATGTTCCAGGAAAATAAGATATATAGAGTAAATAGAATGTATGCTAAACAGCGAGCACTATGTAAACTTTCTTACCTTGGTCCCTGAGGCTTTGATTTTTTCTACATACTCCCAGACAGTGTGAGGGGATATCCTGCCACCTACCTGAATACTATCAGGTAAATCCTATGAAAAAGGAAAACAAAAATCTGAATCAAACATATCTATTTTATATATTCAACACATTCTTAATTATTATAGTTCTTACATATTAATTTTAAAAGTCAGTAGAAGTTACAACAGCAGAACAAATAATTTAGAAAATTAATTACATTTAGATTTTGGATATTTCTATTAGGATTTTCAGTGCAAGATCAATGATTAGTAATAAATTAGTTATCACTCAAAGCTGTTCATATACACCTTCCTCCAAAACAATTCACCACAGTAACAAAATCGAACTCCACTCCAGAAATACTCAAGTTTCCTTAATGATTAAGCTGTTATGAGAGTTGCACACCTATAGGGAAATACAATAAGCTTTTAAAATTTAAATAATGAGAAAATATATAACCTACACGCTTATGTACATAGAAGAAAAATTGTTCTCAGATACTAATTGAGCTTACTTTTGCTAGTGACAAAAACAGACTTCCAGAATAACTTCAGAACAACTTAGGAAAATGAGTTGTTTTGAAATAAAGCAGAAGAATTATACTAAGCACACTCTATTTTTAAAACAATCCTTTAACACCAAGAGGTAATCTGTGATCTGCAATTGACTGAAGATTTACAGTAAAATAAAGATAGGCACATTAATAGAAGACCTAAGACTATTTAATTGGAAGGCTGACGCATCCTGTGTCACTGGTGAGAAGTAATACTGAGCTTACATGCTCTTTGATCTTTATTTTATGCTGCAGTGATAACTGTTACAAGTAGTCACATCCTTTTCCTGCCTCTCAGAGCCTGAATAGAATACTAAATAAATATTTTTAAGGTTAATTTAGCCTTACAAGGGCTGTAATTGCACCAGATTAGAAAAAAAAAAATCCAAATCTTGTTACAAACATTTCTATTGTAGAAAAAAAGACTGCTCATAATGTTAACAGTAATCTCCAATAGACACTTTTTTTTACAAAAACTGATGCTGACTTGTTTAATGCTTTCAATTCAAAGGGAAGTTTTCATTTCCTCACCTGTAATTCAGAAAATGGATGACACTGAGATGATTATTTCAGTAATAAATTCTGTCCTAACTTTCCTAACACAGAAGATGTTCCATAGCAAACTAGAAACAGTTGAATATTTGCAAAATTATCTCTACAGAAACTGCTATTCATCCTCAAGAAAGATGAGAGAAAAACACCCTAAAATACATTAGAGAACTTGAATCGTGCTGAACCAGGGGTTCACTTAGGGCAAACTGAAAAATATTTTACTTACACAGATAAACTCTGCCTACCTTCTTTCCTCCTGCAAGTACTGTGTTCAGTATAATCACACTTCATTGTCTTTTATCATTATGCTACCATTAGCCTATATGGTAAATAAATCACTAAAGTTCACAAAAGAATTGTCCATTCTTTACAATAAATGTAAGTACCTCTGTTAAATACTCAAAAGAGCCAGAAACTGGATAAGCCTTGATAACGAACTTTGCCACCGAAGGCATGTTGATGAAACCCTTCCAGATGAAATTCAGGCGCGCCAGAAACAGACTTTCACATTCTACAGTACCAGGTGTTTCCGATCTTAAAAAAATAAAAAAAATAAAAAAAGACAAAACCACTTTGTTTAGAGCATGACATGTAAATCATCACCTTTTTTCATAAAATAAGCTACCCATCATTAAAAATTTTATTTTTCAGTCAAGAATACTTGAGAGTGTAAGAAAACACACAGGCAGACAAGCCTATTGTTCCTCATCTTCCAGGGTAGCAGAAGATATTTCTCACATGAAGAGCCATTAAATAAACAGCATATTAGCAAAGTACTGTATTTTTGGAGCCTCCAGAAATTATTTTTTCTAAGAACTAAAAAATGGTACCAAAGAGGACAGAGAAACATGTACAGTGCTGCAGACCCATTAAGATCTATCTTCCCCCAGCAACATGTAGAGAGGGAGAAGACAGACAGCATGCAAACTGCTGCTTTCCTAGCTCGTACTTCTTGTTGCAACGCTGTCCACCACCTATAGATCCACTGCCAGGCCAGCTAGCTGCTCTCACCCAGGCATCACTTCCACAGGCTTTGTCAGCACCTCTTCTCAATTCCAACATCATTACCCATACAAAGCAACTTTACCACCACACACTTGAAAAAAAAACAAAACAAAACAACAACCAAAAAAACCCAGCAAATACAGCAAAGCAATTGCAAAAAATAAACTGAAAGACTAAAATAATTTCACAGGAAATTGTTGCTCAGCCTTGGAGCTTCTTTACAGAAAATAATACAGCTACATTTTAACACTTCTGAACTCATTAAAAAAAAAAATATTCTAGGCATGCTACTAGCACTGCTTATCAGTCACTCACTAGTAACAAATGCTGTGCTGTGTAGTAACACACAACCTACATTTCATGCTGTCTACTCTAGAAATTATTTCTTTGAATCTTCAGCAAACCATTCTAAAACCAAAGTCCCGTGTCCTTGGTGAAAGATCATGTCCTGATAATGGTTGCATTCCTGAACTATGGTCAATTCTAAACAAATGAGCCAGTGTTTTTCTAGAAACCTGTCTCTCAGACCAAAAAAATTATCCTCATAATTGCAATTTAGAAGAGAGTAAAGATTGAAAGGAAGAAAATGAAGAGAGTTGACAGCAACATCCATACTGGATCAACAATAAGCCGAGGAAAGGGAGAATGGAAGGAGTGGTGAGGAGGAAAATTCTTCATCAGAAAGAAGAACTTGTTCAAGAACAGCCACTACATTTTCATGTTACAAGGAGTAAGGTGACAGGCCTAGAAGTTATGGCTGCTGCTTTCCCTCACTTGCTCTGTGGTGTTTTCCTCAACACAAAAAAAGCTGTTAGAATCCAAGAACACACAATCTGACATTGCAGAAAACTACAGAATTGTAGGGGGCTTCTGGAGATCATTTAGTCCAAACCCCTGCTAAAGCAGGTTCCCTACAGGTTACACAGGAAAGCAGCATCCAGGTGGATGCTTTCCTTTAGACACTTCCTAAGCTTACCTATGAGGATGTTAGCCTTGCTAAGCTAAACTACTCTTCTTTCAAATTAAGATGCTCCACACATTAAACTCAATGTTGTGACAGCTATTCTCTAACTATCATTTTCACCAGATATCACTGTGGCCAAAGCAAAGGCCTCATGAGCCCCATGATTGAAAGAAACGTTAAGCATGACACAACTAGTAATTACTTGTTACAAATAAAGAGAAAAAAAGGCAACAACCAAACATAAAAACTGTGTAAATAGGCAACAGTATATTAACATTTTTGGAAAAACATTGCTAAGAACATGGTCAGCCACAACACACATCCATTGTGTACACAGCGAAGTATAAAACAAAAATAGAGAGCTATGGTCTGGCTTCCACACAGGGTGCAGAAAGCATTTGTAAATGATAACAAAATCTGAAGGGCAACAACAAAGGATGGATGTAGAGCAGGCAGGAAAGATGTCTGATACAATAATGCTGCAGGACAAGCAGGGGAGATGCCTGGCAAAAACAAAACTGCAAAAAATCTAATGCACTACATTGATAACAGATGAGATTTCTCCAACCTCTTCTGTTTCTTTTTGGAGATAATACAGAAAGCGTTAAGCACCAGGAATGAGCAATGGGAAAATTGGTAAGAAAGACTGCATCACTTCAGCTCCACTTTCTCACCCCTGAGAAGACTTCTAGTCTCACAACCCTAACAAAGACAATGAACACCAGTGCTAACTGCAAGGCATTGGACCTACAGTACTACACACTCAGAGTTAACTGGTGGCAAAACTTTAAAGGGCTAGCTGTTGCAATACACAAGGGTAATAACTGATAAAGTGTAAGAAACAAACATCAGAAAAGTCAACTAACTAGCAAAATAATTTTTGAGATTTGAAACTAGCCTGATCCATCACGATTTGTTCACAGAAAACTCAAACTCCCTAACATGATATATGTAACCATACAAGCACATATATACCTTCAATATAGTAATTTATTTTCCCTGACAGGAAATGTAAGAATTAGAAGTTTGTAATCACTATACATGTAGCATTATTTATACAAATGCACAGCAGCAAGCAATAACCCCCATTCCTAAGAAGAGGTGTACAACCTCCACTATATGAAATTATGAAATGCTATACAATAAGATAACATTAATCATAATAATTTAACAAGACAAATAATGTGTTTCACTTAAAAATACTGTTTCTTAAGTTTATATTACTTTGGAAGAGTCGGGAATGGCGATTTTGATGAGTCTTGCTTATCATCTTCCAGTAATTCTGAAGCTAAAATACAGGATGTTGAAGAAAGCGCATCTGCAATGCTCTCTGCTTCATTGTCTGATTGCTTCCGTGCAACTCCAACAGACACTTTCACTTTTTTTGCAGAAAGATCATCATCAGTAGGTGGTGCCATTCGACCTGAAGAGATGAATTACAATGTTTTGAATATGTTTTGTTTTGTAGGTGAAAAAAAAAAGCTAAGAGAACTTCCTCAGAAGACATGGAAGATGAACCAAAAATACATTATTGCCATTGTAGTGCAATAGGATAAATACATTAGGTATCAACAACAGTACATACATTCATTAAAAAAATTTATCTGTCTACATTTTATAAATAGAAGGTGACTATCATTTTAAAATTGTAAAACTCTGCTGCCACATCTTTGTCTGCAAACTGAGAATAAAAATATTTATGTTCTTGTCACCTATGCAGATTTTGCAGTTAAGATCAAAGAGATGATTTTTGTGTTGACTTGTGGTGTCTGGAGATGCAGATTCATTTCCTTCTTTATCTTTCTCAGCTTCCTCTGACTTCTCATGCAACTTCATCATATTAGGTTCCTAAGGAAAGTCAAAACATCTCAGATTTTTTCTTCTGTTAATGTTCTCAATGTCACTATTTGTACTGCTTCAATTTATTTATTCTATTTTCTTCCTTTCGGACATAATGACTGTTTACAAGGATGCACAGCGATAGGACAAGGGGGAATGATTTTAAACTGAGACAAGTGAGGTTTAGGTTAGATATTAGGAGGAAGTTCTTCACTCAGAGGGTGGTGACGCACTGGAACAGGTTGCCCAAGGAGGCTGTGGATGCCCCATCCCTGGAAGCATTCAAGGCCAGGCTGGATGTGGCTCTGGGCAGCCTGGTCTGGTGGTTGGTGACCCTGCTCATAGCAGGGTGGCTGAAACCAGATGATTATTGCGATACTTTTCAACCCAGGCCATTCTATGATTCTATGATAAAATTCTCCCTTCAAGTCTATAGCCTCAAGGCTATAAAGTCTCTGTAACCTAAAAGGCTAAGACAAAACCTACATAAATTCATTAAAATAGTGAATAGGTATTCCCAAATATATTTTACATAAGAGTTAGAGTATTTTCTGCTGTATTCATCAATTAATCAAAAAAAACCAAACCACCATGTCTGTAAGTCAAAGTCAGGATGAAAGAAGAATTAAAACAGAACTAACAAGTAATCACAGACTTTCAACCACGTTATCTATGAACCAAATACGCTGTTCTCTTTCCTACCTGAATTTCCATGACTTCTTGTTCTTTCATTGGTGTTTCGCTTTCAATTTCAATTTCACCTTTGTGAGTAATTTTTGTGATAGGTCTTCTTTCAACTTCCCTCTGTTCTTTCTCAATCATTTCAATTGTCTTTAAAAACAAATCATACTATTTATTTGTTTCCACATAATAAAATTGGGAAATCAGCATATGTAATACATAAAATAAGGACTGTAATCAAGGAACTCTCCGTGAATAAAAGAGTGTATTCTTATTTTACAAGTGTTAAGCAGTTTCTTCAAGGAAAAACACAAGCACCTCATCTAACTTCACTTAAAATACAAGAATAACGAAACTGTAAAATAGACCTTCAACACTGAATTTAAATACAAGTAATCCACATTTTCCTAAAGAAAAATTTATTAACTCTTTTTCCATAATGATAGGAATATATAGGGGATAATGTAGGACATAAATACACCTAGATTTACATAACTTTTCAAGAGCTTGATTTTGAGTACATAAACCTAATAATGTTCTTCCTCAGGAAAAAAAATTAAATATATTCTTCCAGTAATGCATATGCTTATTCTCATCAGGACTGCTACTTTGCTCCATTGAAGGAAAACACCATTTAGTTCTAAAATTGCTTCTTAAAGCACATATCTACTTCTTAATTCAGAAACAGTTTGTATGGGCTGTTCCCAAATTTACTGTATGTCATGGTATCTACTCATTAATTTATTTTCATTGGAAGTAATCCAAGATAACTAACAATTTCTAGTGTCATAAAACCCAAACACAAAATGTATATCCCAATTAACGCTATCTAAATTTTTTGCCTTTCAGTCCTATATACTGGCACATAAATATCAAAGATTCTCCCCAATACAAATCCAGATTTTGTAAATTAAACATCTTTGATGCTCTAATATAGCCATTTTTAAATAGCTATGCTTAGTTGCCATTTGTTAACTATTGTCAGTTATTGGGTACTATTCAAGAAAAAGGTTCTTCTATAAAAGTAGTAACACAGTTTTTACTATTCCTGCTTCTCCTTTTAAGCTATCGACACAGTTATAAATATAGCATGACTTTCTATTTCAAGGAAAGTAACCTAATAAACTTCCTATACTGTGTATTATTATTTATTTCTTTAGATGGTTTTCAGAGTGGCAGTAACAATTTCAGCTCCACACTTCCTGGTGGGTGAGATGCAATGTTCCATCGACATATGAGTTGTAAACAACACTGGTTATGTCTGGCTAGTTCTAAGAGATCTCTCACCCTGGTTAGAACTGTTCTACAAAGCTCCAACTAGATCTTTAAAATCTTGCTGGAAAGACACAAAAACCTTTCCTTTTGAGACATATATTAAAAAAAAAAAAAAAAAGAGTAGAAACAAAGCTGCATTATTTCCCCCTATCAGGAATTTATTAGAGTTCTTTCACTTCTGTACTAACATCTCCTTTCAGTTTTGAATACTCAATAAATTATGGAGGTCCTCCTGACCAGTTGGAGTTGATTTATGTGAATGCATTCTGTTCTTTCTAAATACTCTTAACCTGGAAACACAAGTTAAATACACTTAGGCAGCCAACTAAACAACATTAAGTTGACAAATCTCACGTGTCTGTTTTCTCTTTGTCTCCAAGCAGCCAGTTCTTTGGAGGCCAGTTCTTCTGGGCTCATTTTTATTAGATGGTCTGGAGTAACCTCTCCTTTCAGTACTTTTTTGAACAATATCTAGAAGAAAAAAGAAAACTATTGCTGTGGAGACAAAAACAGCTCCTAACGGAAAGCAAAGTAGAAGAACAACATTCAATATACTCTCTATAAACATGAGTATTGTTTTAAAATATTCCCTGTATCAGAAACACTACTAGACGTTTTTTTTAAAGATAAAAATCTTAATTCCAGAGTCCCCTGTTTGTTCTACATCTACATGTACCCTTAATGATCAGCTGTATGATCAACTGTTGTTGCAAAAATAGAAAGTAAGTTTATGCTCACTGCAGCAGTAACAGATTTTTCTGTAAAGCTGTAAATTCTCTGTACGGCACAACAGAAAGAAGCTAATAATAAAGAGGATATCTGTGCTTCTTGATTGACTTAAGTGAACTCTAAGGGGCATGCAGGTAGGAGGGAGGACTTACATTACTTGGCAGCATGAGCAAACAAAGCAAGCCAGTTAGAGAAGTTAGCCTGCTCATACAATTTACAGTCCATTATTACTAAAAAGCAAGAGACTGAAAAAAGAAACTTGATCAGAACAGAGTACAAATGATCAGAAAAACTGACAAAAAGTAAAAAAGACAAGCTAAAAAGGCCATATCAAATAATGGGCTTACAGAAAGCCAAAACTACAGTGAAACAAGCTACATGACAGAAACAAAAAAAGAAAATTATGAGAAAAAATACACATCAGTAGTAAAGAACACTTTGACAAGGCAAGCTACATTCACTACAATCTGAAATCTGACTATTAAGTACACTGCGAGCAAAGGTTTGAAGAATTAGTGGTAGGAAAAAAAAAACAACACAAAGAAACACAGAAGACTGGGTATGCAACAAGAGGACAAAACATCAAAGAGACAAGGAAACATAGAGGAATAATAGTGAACAAGATTAATTGTGAGAGGTTTAATAACGTATTTTCATAGAAGACTGTTCCTCTAATATACAGTAAACAAAGGATTTCAACAAATCATTACAGATAAGTAATACATACATTATTTTTAGGATCTTTTAGATTGAACATTAAACTTCTATATTTGTTCTTATATTTTGAGTCAGTGTCTCGAAAAAAAGAAAACAGTTCTCTTTCAATCCTTGTGGCAACTTTTGCTGCTCTCTCCTCAGGAATCTTTAAACTGGAGTCTGTCAACCTGCGAGAGAACAGAAGGGCAAATACAGTAATTACCAATTACTTCCAAATATTATTTCCCCTCTGTTTTCTTCTGAAAGAAAACACTTGCAAACACAAATTAATGAATGCATTTCATTATATATTCATACCTTTTCATCAGAATTTCCTTAAGAGATTGCTTAACGCTATGTCTTATCTGATCAGCAGAAGGTTTGGAAGCTGGCACGGTTGGTAAATGCGCACTGATTGGTCCTTTCTCAATTTTCTTTTTCCTAATTTCTTGTTTCTCATGAACACCTATGAAAACACAGAGTTAAAAACCATAAGCTGCATGGCCACTACAATAAACATTTTCTTTGTCTGTTTTCTTTCGGGATCTGGGGATTCTGGTCAACAGCAAGTTGCACTTCAGCCAGTAATGTGCCCTGGCAGCCCAAAGACCAACTGCACCCTGGGGTGAGGTTCTTAACCAGAAGGCGGTGGATATGGAATAGCAGGCAAAGCACTAAGCAGCTGGAGCTCAAGGAGCACTTGGACAATGCTCTCAGATATTGGGTTTGAATTTTGTGTAGTCCTACTTGGAAACAGGAGCTGTATTTGATGATCCTTGCAGGTCCCCACCAACTTGGGATATTCTACTAAGACTAATTTTTCCATTGCTACATTGAGAAAAAAAGCATACTGGGAAGCACTTAACCACAAGCATATTCAATGTTACTTCAGAATGGAATTTTTCATTAAACTTAGCATTCCTGAATCTGATAGCCATCAAAACTACTCCAATCATAAGAATCTCAGCTGCCAGTTCAGGTAAAAGACAGTCTCAAATATGGCCACTATAATGTTTGTATCATAAACAATAACAATCATACATTGTGTATGATTAAAAATATATAATATAAACAATATACGTTTATACCCAAATTACAATCATTTCAACAATCACTTCAAATTTTAATTTGCAAAGTTTCAACTGACTACTCATGTCTTAGCTTATGCATATATACCTAATATACAGTAGTTACCTTCTTTTTATGAAATTAAAAAGAAAAAACATTAATTTATTCTTTTTTTTTTTTCTTTACTCTGAAAAAAATAAAAGAAACATCTAAGACTAATAAAGACCTAGCTTTATGATTGACGGTAAAAAGAACATTTCTTCATTATTTCCTTCAACTACTGAATGCAGTTTAAAACACTTCAACGCCAGAAGCATACTACCTTTTCAAGTAACTAGAAAAGGACAGATTTTATTTTCCATGGGGCAGAATACGTATTTGGAACATCAGCTGTGTAATTAATGTGACAATCAGCCCTACCAAGGTTATAAATTCTCTTTCCTCACTAGAAATGCAGTAAAGACTGGAAACTGTTGTCATACTTTTACACTGTGATCTGATATGCTAGACTTATTAAGTAAAGCAGCTTTAATAATGCTTTTATTTGCTCATCTCCTCTTCAAAATTGGATGAAGACCTAAGTTGAAACGCTTTTAAAAATAAAATGAAGCCTGAGAGTGTCAGGGGAAATAGAAAGTTTCCACATGGAAGCAATATTTCAGACAAATTTCAACCATCTGAAAATACAGTCCCATAAGAGGGAAATGAAAGGCAAGATTAGCAATAAACAATGCCACTATAAGCATCCTAAAAAGTAGTTAAGATTAAGACAAACTCACTGCTTATCCATTTTTATGCTAATTGCCCTGAAAGAGATTACCAAGCCATCCAGTTTAAAAGTGATCTTCAGGTTAAATCCCACTCTAAACTCATCAGTGAGATACCCTTTTGTCACCTCCTAATTCAATTGATACATTTTAGAACAATTCAATGATTCCACAGATGCCAAAGACTCATTTCACCCATGCAATATGTAGTTGGAAAGGTTGTTAGCTATTCTGTGACTCAGAACTCAAACAGTACAGTATCTGAAGTCTAAAGGATGCCATTCAGTGTCAAATAAGTTTAAATTTACATTTAATCCTGATACATTCAATTGTTTCCTTCCAGAAAAAAAAAAAAAGTTTCTAGAATGTCAGAATTGACAAACGACCAGAAAAGCAGATTTTTTTTAGACGCGAATTCAAAGTTTGAGTTTAGGATTTAAAGACAGTTCTCATACAAAATCTCACTAGCACTGCTGCTAAGATTTCAATACCAGACCACATGAATTCCATCTTACCATGAACTTAAAAGAGTACTGTTTCCTGGAAGGGAGATGGAGGATGCAGGTAGGTTTATTCTGAGGGAAGATATGTACCTTTCATCTTACAAATAAAATTTCAAATGAAAATCACTTGCAGGAATAAAACATTTAAAAATTGATACTACATAGAAAGCCATTGTCCTTCACTGTACACAGTCAATTACAGCATGGAGTACTTTTCCTAGTCATTACCTGATTTTGTGGACTTTTCAACCACATTAAGTGACTCTTTACTAATTTTTTCTCCTTTTTCTTCAGAGGACCGCCGAGGAATTACAGCAGTTTGCGATGCTTTACGAGTAGGAACATGTTGGCCTTTTTTAGTATCTGAGTCTCTGGATTCTGACAAGTTCTTCCCATCACCAGACTCCTGAAACAAACATTTACATGATAACATTCTACTGAATGCTGTAATGAATCACAGCATAATTACATTACATGCATTTTTCTCAAATTTTTAAGTATACAGGTATAGTAAACCCCCCAGAAATACACACACCACCACGTAATGCCATCTTGGAAGTTACTGAACAATATCTCAAATTGCTACTAACTACTGACTGACAATTTCCTTGAAAAACTGGCCCAAGGCAATTTGCAGTTAAGCTCTATGTTGAAAAATACTGTGTTTAGTGTCAGGGAGACCAGAACTTCCCATAACCAGTTTTAGTCACGCATTCACAGGAAGCCACGTATGATTATAGAGTACATGTAAAACAAAACAAATCAAAAGAAAACCTGATCAAAGTTAAACAGAAGAGCTTATATGTCAGCATCACAGCAATGCTACAAAACAAAAAATGATCAATGACGATTAAGTTATGCTAAACATGATACAATATGTCAAAAGAACTGAATAAGTTTAATAAAAAGCAACTGCTTTTTATTTTATCACTGCTCTTGATAAGTAAAAGAAAGTAGAAAGACACTAATTAGAACATCAAGCATTTTCTTCTAAATCAAATCTAATGTAAAATTGTCAAAACTAAAATGCTGTTTTCACCTAGTCCTATAGATACTTAAAGGATTTATACTTTGTATCATATAGCAAATTGACAGATGCCTAAGAAAAGTGACTGGAGTTCTGAAGGCAAAATTCACTTTCTTCAAAAAAAGATGAATAGAACGTTAAAAACCATCTGGCTATTCTTTGATCTGAGGCTACAGCATTAGTTTATGCAAGTTATGTAACACGGGAAAATCTACAGTGTAATAACCTCTTATCTATTACATTTGTCATGCATTCTTTCTCTGGTGAAGGGTTACGAGCTGCTTCTGAACAGCGTATTTTGTTTAAACAGATAGAAATATACATAGGTGAATACACTTATGTTCACATTTCTGTCTAAGAGAGGAGCGTATCAATATCTCAAAACAGCCAAACCTGTCTGAAAATGAAGTTACTCTGAAAATAATAACAGAGGTTTATACTAGATTCAAAAATGCTTATAATGTAGTATTTCCAAGCAAGGGGGTAGGAGAAAACCCTCTACCCTCAGTAGCAAAAAAGAATTTAAGCATTAAATAAGACTCACCCGTTTGAAAATTCTGACTTTGTGTTTCCCTATGTCCTCCGTCTGCTTTCCTTTTTCAGTTGCTACGTTCAGATTACAAGTAGGTCCTTGCTTTGACATCCCCGGTTTTTCATAATCAATTGTTTTTTCTTCTTTGTGACTGTCAACTTTCATTTGAGTATCCAGAACACTTTGATCCAAACACTCTGCCTTTTTATCTTCTTCAGCACAGCACTTCACACACACATATTCTTTATCTTCTTCGCCCATCTGCTGCGCTTGAGAAAGACTCAGTCCAACACAATCGCCATGAAACCAGTCATCACACCTACCACAGCCTACCATAAACCTGAAAACAAAGCAAGATATAGATTAGCACATAAAAAAAAAAGGTAATAATTCAAGCAGAATGTATCACACTTGCTTTGATTTGTGCATCTCAGCAACTTGCTCTTACCTGATAAATGATTCTTTTTGTAGCTTTACATCCATCTCCAGCCTTACAACATGTATGATCTGAGAAATGGCTGTACTTGTGAGTTTGAGTGGTTTTATTTGCCTTTTTGCAATAGTCCAAGAGAATATCAGAACCTCACTATGCATTTGTAGCCTGTAAGCCCTACCAACAGAATCTTTTCAGAATACTACTAAAACAAATGGAGCAAAGAAGACTATCAAAAACTCAAAACCACTGAACTTACGTTTGAGAAAACTGAAACATTTTCCTGCAGGAGCATATCTCACACATTTTCCTCCAAACTTACAGTAGAAATGTATCAGCTGATATGACTTAGCCTTCTACTGCAGTAAGATATGTTTAAGCATTTTGAGAAATATAAACAGCACACAACTACTTCCAGAAAGCTTCCCCTCTCCCTCCCCCCCCTCTTTTCTGGTGAACTTGGGGCCAGGAATGTGGCTTCCAGCTAAATCTGACCTGTTTGCAGTTATTAGTCAGTTTGAAATTAGGTACGCGTCATTTCTGTGTCACCATCTGACTCCAAGCTAGTAGCTTCTTGAATCATACTTACAACATCAAAATGAGAATCGCTTAAAGAACACTTTTCATCTCACAGTTACTTAAATGTTTCTCTGTTTTTCAACAAATGTGACTTTACATACAGCTTGCATTTCAAAGTGTAATGAAGATCACCTGGTTTAAGACAAAACCCTAGTTTTCGATGACTTTGCTAAAGCTACTTTGAAACTTCAGTAGGTATTACTGGTCCCTAATTATGCTGATAGGTATAATTTCTGACAGGAACTCTTTTGGAGTAAAGTGGAATTTCAAAGTTAAACAGATTAAACATCAATACATTTGTTTCACTCAGATGTAACTGCTTTTAAAATAATTTCTTATAAAAAATGCACCTAATTTAAGTGCTATTGATCTGCTTTCAAATGATGTAAGAGATCTCTTGCATCATTAACCTAGATTTTTTTCTTCCCTTTTTTCTTTTTTTACATTTACATATCATTATGTATCTTAATGTCTGGCAGAAAATACAGAAAGTACAAATGATTGCATTACGAAAGGTGTGACTTTGTAAGTACTGAAAAATTATATACAATTTCTTCGTGAATTTCATAGATGACAGATCTGAAGTCTGTAGACTCTTCAAAGGAAGACTCCTAATGTGTACGAGCTCCTGTAAAGATGAGGAGCTGCTACTCTCTGAGTTACCTACTTTGAAAGACTGAGCATATACTACAAAACGTGCTTAGAGAAATTCTCATTCACCAGAACTACAGATGAACACTCCAGGTGGTTTGAGACCAGTACTGTACTCAAAAAACTACAAGACATGGAGAATCCTCCTAGTCTAGCAGCATAAGCTTGAAATGCAAGAACAGAAAAGAATCATAGCTTTATCCTCTGTCCTTACTTACCCAAAATAAATCAGGATTAAATTCAGTTGAAGTAAATAAGTTTTTTTGATGCAAAATGAGTCTGATAAGCTTTAAAGCTCCAGCTATTCGAGGAAGAGGTCACTTCCAGCTTTAGTAGCCTATATTGCTGTTCACTAGATTTGAAAAAACAGTCTTTATAATCTAGTTTGTGAAGAAAGCTATTTTCTCTTTTTTTTTTTTTTTCCTAAGCTACAAGTACATTTGTTGGTACTACTGATGACTAACAAAAAGATCTGTCTGTCTATTCAGTTGTTTCAGTTAATGAAGGCACAGGTTCCTTCAGATTTTGACAGTACCTCCATCTCTTCACATATATGTTCCAACAAAAAAGATATAAGAATGGTAACGCTACTGTTATGTGCTTCTGACCCTCTCTACCACAGAAATACATTAGTATAACAGGAAAACAAAAGAGAAGTGATGGAAATTTGACACAAAGATGGCTGCTTCGTTATGACAACCTTTTTATGAGAACCTAGAGCCAAACATGATGGGATGAAATATAGCATGAATGCCTACGTCACAATTCCTATTTCACAATTCCAAGGATCTACAAGATGCTTGACATGATACATCCTGCACCATTGCAAAAATTACTAAAGCTCTGGAAATACTAAAAACTGGTTTATAAAAATCCAAAACCATTTTCTACAGAGTTGAAATAAGCTCAAAATAGACAAGTATTTTGTTGTACTGATGAACGAACACCTTCTGGTTAAAAATTGATGAGAAAGCATGATCTTGAAGCTGCAAATACTACTGGAATTTTTATTTAAAACTTTTTTTTTTTTTTTTTTTAATTTCAGTTTGAAACTCAAGCATCGGAAACTAATTTGTTAAATGAGCGGGACACGTTGCAACTTTAGCAACCAAAACTAAAATTTTGATTAATATTTAGAAAATGGATTAAATTCCCAGGAAAGCACAGATGAACTTGAGAGACTAAAACAGACAAGATGCTGCAAAACTTCAGCTTTAAACTGACAGCATGTGTAATTTACAGCTTTGCTCACAAATAGGAGGTGGCAAAGGAGATGGTTTGTGACATCAGTAAAGCACCAAATAAGCATTCAGTCTTATATCTTTATTTTCAGGCCTAGCAATAACAGAAGTGAGACTTTTTTTTTTCCCCTCACCCTTCGCAAAGGCTTTACCTAGTTGGACAGCATATTATAAAGGTCTATCCCATACTCTGAAGTAGGGATTTCAGCTTCTAAGTAGTTTAACCTTGCTGAATAGGAGTAATTTAAGGCAACTGAGCAGAAGAGCAGAGACACAGGCTTCCAAGAACAAGCTGATTCCTAATAGCCCAATTTCAAAGATATTTACAAGTGTACTTTCTTGGTTTTGTTTCTACATTTCTATGCAAATAATAATAATAAAAGAAACTGTAAATGAATTCTGCTCAGAAAAAATTAATTATTCACAAAGAATATACACCAAGACTGATAGTTGTCATTTTATCCATCTTAATGAAACTACTGAAGACGTAGTATCCATTTGAGATTATCCCAAATCAGGTTTTACAATAAGGTTTCAATTGCACTGTATTTAAACACGCATAATAAAACTTCAGATTCAGAAAACAAGACTCAAAGAGAATCTGGAAATGTCCATGAAGCCTGTGCTATGAACAAAATTTAACTGTTTACAATCATCTGGTTAAAACTTTGTTATACAAAACGGTAATAAAAATAGTGGTGCTGCCTGCCTGAAAATGTCACTGTTTTCACACTATTCAACTGGAAGTCTCAGTTTCAAGGCTGAAAGAGAACATGTGATTTTGATACAAGTAAAGTAAGAAATCCTTTGTATCATAAGGCCATCTTTACATCTTTATCTGTTTCACTTATCTGTACACAAAATGCAATTATGATTTATAACAATAATTGTATTTGGATAACAAAAGTGACAGTGCAACGCTCAAAAATTAAGAGTGAACATCAAGGGACACTGAAGCCTCGCTTGAAGGATCAAAGATGTCCTCTTTCAAAGCTGTCAGTTGTGACTGATGAGGTTCTGATATCTTGGACTATTTAGAACACCAAAGTTTCTGAACGCAGATTGCTTCAATTTGCAGAGCAGGAGTTTTACCCATGTTGTAAGGCTGGAGTGGAAGATGTAAAGCTGAAAGAGAAAAAAAGATGTTTTAAAATATTGTATCAACTCCCATTCAGTAGAAAATTAGAACTGCTTTTACATATCCTCAATATAAAAATTTTTCATCATGAAAAAATCTAAGAACTGACAGGTGACAGTGGAAAGTATTACAGTTCACTGGGACCTTTTACATGGAGTATTTTATTGTTTCATTCCTTTCAAATAATTCTTGGCAGTCTCCATACTGTGTAAAAAGATGCACCTTCAAAAAACAGAACAGATCATAGATGAAATGAGACAATAATTGAAAAACATCACTTTTTTTTTTTTAAAGTCTGGGGGACTTTCCTTAGTGTTATTTGTGGCAAATTAAATTCATCTGTGATACAAAAAAACCTCAGGTTTGGACCACATTTTCAAAATACAGGGTTAGGTTTTTAATTTAAATAAACTCAATACATATAACAAGTTTCTAGAGAAACCAAATTTTAAAACTTTTGTGCTACAAGTGAGCCAACATTAAAGCTGAGACATTGCACGGAAACTATTGTTTTCCCTTCAGCTAATAAAGACATTATTAGAAGAATGATGAGCTTAACCTTTACCAATCCACTTCATTCCCATAGAGACTGAGAAAGATATTCACAGCAACTTTAGCAAAGCCTGTGTTTCACATCTGTGTAGCAAGGGCTCAATTCAAAACTCAGAGAAACAAAAGGTTACCAAAAAAAAGTGCACAACCTTGTTACCAGAGCACAAGTTTCTGTTTCTTTTCCATGCAAGTTCAATACACTTGATCACTGATTTTTTTCACGTTTTTAGTCTTCCAGAAACAAGTACTAGTGGTTTTCAAAGAAACACTATCATCAGATGTCTTTACAAGGAGTGCACAGCATAAGATAAAGATACTGAAACCTCTAATTTCCTAGTTATCATTTGAGCAACTCCTCTAATACACAGTACAAGCTCCTTTCTCATTTAAAGGCAGATTCTTTACCAATTTTTGTGTTACACAAGCCTCTCTAAAATGGAAGCAACCTATGACACAGACAATTCTATTCTGCCTGAACAGAAGGTAAATGAAAAAAAAAAACAAAAAACAGGCCCAAGCAACTGAAAAACTGAAATCCTTGACCTTCCCCAAACCATGAAAAAACTGGCTACAGCGGTTTTATCTAAGTTTTGCATCTTGCAGAATCAGTTCTCTAAACTGCACATACACAAGTATTTTATAAAGCCATGTATTTTAGACAACTAAAATGATTCTAAACTGAAGGACAGTAGATTTAGACTGGATATTAGAAAGGACTTCTTTACTTTGAGGGTGGTGAGATACTGGAACAGGTTGTCCAGAAAGATTGTGGGTGCTCTCATCCTGAAGATGTTTAAGGCCAGGCTGGATGGGACTTTGAGCTACCTGGTCTAGAGGGACGTGTCCCTGCCTATAGCAGGGGGGTTGGAACCAGATGATCTTAAAGGTCCCTTCCAACCCAAACCACTCTATGGATTCCTGGCTCTCTACTGGTACTGATATTAATAAGAATTCTACTAATATTGCAGCAAATTAATAGAATCTGTATTAAAAACACTAGTAATAAAATGGCACAGTTGTATGAAACACACCTGAATCCTTGAATTTTTTTAATGACATATTACAAAGCTACTTTGTTTATACTGTATATAGTGTATATACATATATACAGTTTATACTGTATACTGTGCAGCAACAACAGCATGTGGATTTGTTTGTTTTTAAACTTTACACATAAATTGAAGTAATTTTGTATATTAGTTTTACAGAAGCTTTTTGGTGACTCTCTGTACCCAAGAGATTAGAATATTTTATCTTTTCTTAATCAAATTCTACACCTTTACAATTGCCTTTTACAGTATCAGTACCTTTTCCTCCATTTTCCACAACTGAAATGCAGGAAAAAAGCATGACCCTAAGTAAGAAAGACTTTTGTCCTGCACTACAAAGCTTATCTGTGAGCTCTGAGAAGTCCTAGTATTCTGACCACATGAACTGCATCATCAAATCCCAAGCAACACAAAAACAGATTTATTAAAAAAAAATTACTAGAATTGTAGAAATCAAGAGGAAATTACCAGAAAGCAATTAAAATCTGCTTTGTATAATGCTTTCTAGAAAATTTGTTTATAAACAGGAAATCTCAAGTTATGTACTAATTATTAAATTTAAGTTGGTGAACAAAGGAGAGCATCTGCAAAATCTCAGTTAAGTTTTGTCTATCTGCCTAAGAAAGAAATTAACTCAGCTTATGAATCTGAGCATATCAAACATTTACAAGGAAAAATGGAGAAATTTATAATATGGACACAAGAAGAAATCCTTCATTAGCAGATTTCTCACAATCTGCAGAGCACCCTCACCTAGCACTATGCCAGGAAATGAAATGTTTTTTCTTCTACTATTTTTAAATATCTTCAATCTCTCATCAGAAAAAGTAACATTTACATTTGTGATAAATCTTACTATTTTCAACACAGTTTCTGCTCACTGAGAAGTTTAGGTAATAACTTTGGTCTGTAACATCTTCGTGCAATACACACACACATATATATATATATATATACACGTATAGACAAATGCCTTTCATCTATACATGGATGAATCAAAATTTACGGGTGTGATGTTACAAGATGACAAGTAAACACTACAAACAGTACTGGAACAGAATGGTAAAGTCAAACAAGTTGAAAGAAATACTACAATCAGTAATAAAAAACAATTCAAACTTTGCTCTAAGCAGATAAAACTGTGCCATATTTATATATTCAGTTATAAAAATTACTGAATACAAAGAGACATCGATTATCTGACCTGACCCAGAAACAGAGTTTAGTTTCCATTTGAAAGAACAATTACTTATTTAGTTATCTTGCAAAAGTAAATCTCTGAATGGGAATCAACAGAATACCATCAGATTATAACAACCAATTATTTTATGTCAAACACTGATCACCCAGTTTATGAGGAAAGGTGATACAAAATACAATTCAGATATGTTGGTTCCAGCTTATAAGCATCAAGACAAGTAGAAAGCAGAATATGAATAGTCACTGTTCAAAGCAAGAACAATAATCAGATCTATCAACATTAAGAAACAGGTACGACTCTTATAAGATAAGGCACATTTTAACTTAAAACTTTTTTTGATCACGAAAGTTAGAAGGATGGACTCCTTTCCCAACCAAATACCTCTGTCAGCTGTACAATGTGAGTCTACTTCAACTTTGAACGCGGACAATTGTAGACAACTGGATACTGAATTTTTACAAGAGTTGATTCTGAAATAAAACAGCACCAAACCATCCATCCTGTGCTGTTCTTCTAGCATAGCATAGGAAGATCACAGGAAGATTACCCTGGGGCTGAGAAAGGCCTAAATAAGCATCCTGCTTGGGGATTCTTTACACAAACAAGGCTGATGAAACAATCTCTACATTCTCTCCAACCTGTATCAATTCTCCAAGCTTAGTATTATGTTAATAAGTTGGTGAGTTTGTATTTATTGCAGGGAAGATTAAAAGGTTCAGGAGACTAGTATTTTGTAGCCTGAATTTTACGTGTGTTTCATTAGGATGGCATATTGCAAAGTGCTTATGCACATCATTTATGAACAAGACTGAAAATTCAGTTAAACTTTTTCTACAAATAATTTGTACCACAGCATTAATAAGAATTTCTAAAGTGACCACTGAACAGAATTTCCATTGCAAATATTGTTCCATATCTTAGTCCTGTCTTTGCCATTTGTTGAACTTTGGCAATTTTAAAATACTGCTCTGTCATTTCACACTTTTCTTTTTCCTTATCCCTATACCACAAACATACAAGTAAACAAAATGGGCTGGCTGACTACACTGTTACATGAGAAAAACAGAAATTCCTTGAAATGCAATCCACAAAGTGAATTAAGGGGAAGAGGAAACATTCCTCTGGATAATTTTGATATTTTATTCACTCGGAAATACATCAAAACTATGAAATTTATTATTTTAATATTGAATACTGAAGATGTTTGCTTGGCTTTCTACTAATACTTAAAACAGATATAAAAACGCCAAGATACTTCAGATACAAGTTCTGCTTCCTCTTGAATCCTAGCAACATTAAGTGAATCAGAAAGGTGTATGAAATAAAAAATAAAAATTAATTTTTAAAAAGTGTTAATGGAATGTGATGGACTGGTCTTAATTCCTCTATTATTAAGTATGAGGTCCAATAATGCAAGTTTCCTCACTAGCATATCTCAGTCACATTCCCTATATCTTTCTGAATTTAGATAATCCAATCTTCTACTGAAACTTGCTGGTTAGATCAAGACTTTTGACAAATTTCTGTTGTTGCTGTCTCAAAAAAAAAAAAAAAAAAAGAAAGATAAAAATACCCACACAACAAAACCTGACATTAAAAAGGTTGAGATATCAGTAATCAGAATCTGAGAAAATTCATGAGCGCTATCAACAATGACCTCAGTTGGTCATCCAAATATTGTACTGTTATATGCCATTCTAAGAGCACTAAAACCTGACAATGCCAAATTGGTTTACTGCACTTATTCCTGTACAAATACATAGGTAGTATATGTGTTATATTGTTAATTTTAGTTCAGACTGATTAGTTCTGGCTTAAACTGAGGAGATGCCAACTGCATAAAATAAAACAATATCACAGAGGGATAAATGGTAACAAGTTCTAATAATGTTTTTCTAAAAGAAAGCATATGAAATTACGTTTGCAGAGCAAACCTATCATTACTTCTTTTAATAACACCAATACAGATACTACAGCTGCAAATTAAATGAGCAAAAAACAGTTACTAGATAATGAATCTAAAACATAAAAAAGTGGTAGCGAAGGAATTCTTATTCCTGGATTGACAGCTCATTATTGGAACATAATGGCCTTTTTCAGTTCACTTAGTGACAAAGGGACATCAACTTTAAATGGCAA